TTAAATTTCATGTCATTCGAATTACAAAATTTGGTCTATAAATTTAATATTCCTAACATTACCGAGTACCGAAGTATTATACTTGCCGTTATAGGCATGAGTTTAACAACACAAAAATGTCTGGTTGCGCCATGTGCACCACTTTGCTTTACAATTACTCTCCTTATCACAAAGTCGGGATGTCTTCTAGAAGGAGGGCCAGGGGAGCTTTCATCCAGTGCAATTCATCGGCTAAGTCTTCTAGAAGGAGGGCCGGGTAGGGAGCTTTCATCCCATGCAATTCATGCTTTCTCTGCAGTCTCATATATATATATATATGCCCTTTATGCAAAGGAAAATTTTTTTTTTTTTTTTTTTGGGAAAATTGGGGATTAGGTGTGGGACCTACTTCACATCGAACTTCAACGATCCGAACCGTTTATTTTGTAAGTCCCGTTTCATGGATCATCCTTACAAAAATTCAATTCAATCCGAAATCATTTGCCTATTTAATTATTAAGATAAAATTTCATTGTTTTTTATATAACAAAATTATTCGTTAATTTTTTTTAACTCAATTAGTACAAAAATTCAATTTAATCCGAAATCATTTGCCTATTTAATTATTAAGATAAAATTTCATTGTTTTTTATATAACAAAATTATTAGTTAATTTCTTTGAACTCAATTAGATATTTTTTACATTTCCGATTTGGCTAATACTTTGCAAAGGTGATCTATAAGATGCAACTTGAAAAATAGATAATTTTGATCGTTAAAGTTTGATGTGGTGTGAACTCTATAACTAATCTCTATTTAAAAAAAAAATGAAAATTCATTCACTTAAAGGTTTCTTATTTATATATGTATGTATGTATGTATGTATGTATGTATGTATGTTCCCGTTGCGTACTTTAATCTCACCAATACAATTTAATGTCCACTTCCCTTTCTCACATCACTGGTTTTTTCAAGGGGGCATGGGCTAACTAACATGACTCCACTACTTTATTGTGCTCCTTCGTGCCAGCCACATGTACAGTGATTCATAAATTATTTTTTATGAACCAATCATTTTGCATTTGGCACGTAAGGGCGGATTCAGGAAAATTTCCTCTCGAGAGCAAGATGAACCAGACAATTGCCCTTGGGCACCTACGTACACTGCCTCTACTTCTTTGAGGCATTTTTTATCTTCCTGCTATATGATAACCGTGCTCAAGGAAAATCTCATAGGAAGATTTGGACACCTTGTGTAACAAGGGGGCGGAGTCAACTACATTATACACCAGCTCCTACGTAGATTTTTCTACTGGGGGCAAATGTCCCTCTCGACAGGGGTGGATCTACCTTGAGGCAAGGTGGGTCAACTGACCCGTCATAACTTAAAAAGTTTATACGGAAGAGTTGGGTGTTACTCCTTGAAAAACTGAGATGTCCTTGAAAGTTGTCCGTTAATTGCTCGACAAATTGCCCCTATGGACACTAAGCAGACTAGCTGCTAGCCTCATGCCTTATGCGTTGCTATGGGCGTCTTTCGATATACTCACTCGGCATATGTTAACATTTGTCAGCATGCTCGCCCAACACCTATTGACATCAGTCAATATGTTCGCTCAAAGGCTGTTGGCATATGTCGACAGACATGTAATATGACTTGACAAATGACATCAGACCTACCAAAACTCTATGAAATGCCAATTTGCATAATCTTCCGTCCAAAAATTTTTGTGCACAACGCTATTCTCATTGACCCCACCCCGCAAAAAAGAAAATTTTGATACATCTGCCACTGCCTCTCGAGCTTAATCTGGTAGTTTCGTCATCCTATCTACACGTGTTAGTTATTCACATGAACGATTGTCATAAGCATTTACTATGGTATTCATAATGCATTATTAAAATAAACCACTCATGTTTCTTCAACGTCAGAGCTTCATTGTCTTCGCAAATGATGTTATGTATAGTTGTAGGCTGTCTATAAATATGTGAACCCAAAGAAAGAAAAAAAAACAATTTCATACGTGAGAGATAGATCTTTCACAAGCTGCGGCTCCCTTCCGGCTTCTAGAAGGGGACGGTGACGATGGGGAAAGCAGATGACAAAAGTAACGCAGTGAGGAAATTGTTCGACTTAGTTTAATTATTAAATATTATTTATCTTTGTTGTTATTTAATTTTTTATTCGCTAATCAGACAATAATTTATTGAACAAAGAATTTAAAAGGGACAATTATTTATCACTTCAACGGCATTACTTTAGTAAACTCTGTTGTGAATCATGTGAATTTGTGACTTTAGTGCCGTCATCGGACAGTAATTTCGTTTAATAATCCATTCGGTCATGTTACTTACTTGTCCTCCTGTGATTGGCTAAATTACAAAGCAAATATGTTTACGGTTCAATTTTGCTTATCACCATATTTATTCTGGTGAGATAAGTTTAAATTCTTTCAAATTTGTGTATATTTATTACACAAATTTTGAAATTTAAACTCAAAATAAAATGGTGATTATTACTGTCACTTGAGGATGGTAAGCAAAAATGCATCATAATGCAACAAAGGGTGGGTCCCTATAACGTTTATTGAATCAGGGTGAATTTTTGCTCTCCGTCCTCAAGTGAAGGTAATACTCACCACCTCACTTATTTGTGTATGTCCACTTCATAGATTTTGAAATGAATTGATACTATAATGATCTTCTAAGGCTTAAGTCGGAGTACAACATCGAACAACCGTGTTATGATACAACGATTATTTTATAGCATTTAAAATCAGAGTGACGAACATTACCATCACTTTATTTGTGGGATAGCAAAAATATTACCATGTGACTTGTTTGTAAAGGAGTAGGATTATCTCTCTTCCTAGTCTCCATCCCCTTCCCTCCCCTCCTAGTCTCCATCCCCTTCCCTTCCCTCCTATTTGAATGATTACAGTTAAATCACGTTAACATTTTGTGTTAATTTTTTAATAGCCAGAAGAAAACAAAAAATATTTTGTAAGAGAAAAGGAGAAAAGGGAATGAAAATAAGAGGACTCTGTTTATAAAACTCTAAAAGAAAAGTTAGAAACATGGGGACCGGCACCTTTGATTGTATTTGTTTTCACTTAAAGCCGCCTTTATTGTATGTGTACATTACTATTTTCTTTTTACTTTATGTCAATTTCATCATTATTATTGAATAAATTGGGCAGAGGTGTGGGATCCGGTTATATGGTCAAGGAGTAGGACAAAGGGCCTTCGTACACTACTTCCCAGATACTCGATGTGCTAATTAGGGCAATTGCAATCATTTAGTATTATGATTTGGTGATAATTTTTTTTTTAATTTATAAGTAAGAGATTTTAAATTCAATTTTCGTTAAAGATGAATTTAAATTACATTATTGATAGCCCATTGCGAGGCTATCTTCTCCTCTTCTCTTTAGTGTAGCTATATGGCAATTGAAAAATTCTTCGGTGTGTTCAATCATATCAACCAACTATATATTCTTACTCTAGAGTAATAATTTTTTTTTGTTATCTGTGAGTATAGTTATTTTGTTGAAAACAAATTTCTAAATCCGCCATTAATTAGTGTAAGCTAGCATAGAGCTTTTGTCACATCCCGCCCCGGGGGGACCACTTCCCGGCCCACTCTACCACCGTAGCACGATATTGTCCGCTTTGGGCCCCGACCATGCCCTCACGGTTTTGTTTCTGGGAACTCACACGAGAACTTCCCGATGGGTCACCCATCCTGGGAGTGCTCTCGCACGCTACTCGCTTAACTTCGAAGTTCCTATGGAACCCGAAACCAGTGAGCTCCCAAGAGGCCTTGTGCTAGGTAGGGATGGAATATACATATAAGGATCACTCCCCTGGACGATGTGGGATGTCACAATCCACCCCCCTTAGGGGCCCGACGTCCTCGTCGGCACACACGCGGCCAGGGTTAGGCTCTGATACCAAATTGTCACATCCCAGCCCGGGGGGGACCACTTCCCGGGCCCGCTCCACCACCGTAGCACGATATTGTCCGCTTTGGGCTTACCATTCCCTCACGGTTTTGTTTCTGGGAACTCACGAGCAACTTCCCAGTGGGTCACCCATCTTGGGAGTGCTCTCGCACGCTACTCGCTTAACTTCGAAGTTCCTATGGAACCCGAAGCCAGTGAGCTCCCAAAAGGCCTCGTGCTAGGTAGGGATGGGAATATACATATAAGGATCACTCCCCTGGGCGATGTGGGATGTCACAGCTTTCTTAAGCACTTATTGTCATTAAGTTGGCAAAAATGGAGAAACTTGAGGTACCATAGACAATTACCAAGCCACAAGCAACCCTCGGCCGGGGGGACCGTTTGATACGCCCTGCAATTTGTACTTGAATTTATTTTGTACCTGCTTGTATTAGTCTCCCACAACCCTTTCATAGATTGAACTGCTCTCATTTCGCTCGCCTTCGTTTTTTTTTTTTTTTCCTTTCTATTTTATATTATTTTCATTTAGTTTGTTTTCATGTCTCCTTTGTTGTACTTTAGTTTTCTCTAATAAATTTTGGGTGTCATTGGTGTTTAAATGGATAGGAGTTGTCTATTTAGGACTAGGTTCTTTCATTTTGATTATGCGAAATTGCAAATGAAGTGTAGGCAACTATAATTGTACAATGACTTGACCTCGAAATTTCTCTCCTACCTAATTCATCGTTACCTTAGGTATTGTCTTTGAGAAAAAACCTATATCCGTTTAGTAAAAACTATATATATAAAATCTTTTAATTTAGTTTTATTTTTATAACACACACATGGTTGCACTACATACAACACAAGAATATCTACCTGTCTATATTTTGCCAACTTCTTATTAAAAAAAAAAAAAAAAAAGAGTCCAACTTTTGACCAGTTTACATTTACCGAATCCTGACCCCGAAAATACGGCATTTACCAAATTATTATCCGAAGACAAAATCCGTATATACCTACAAAAATCTAAACTCACGCGCGCACCAAGCAGTGGAAGGCGGAACTTGAGAATTGAGATGCACAGTAATTACTGGATTTGTCTATAAAAGCAGGACGAACGAAACGGCTACCCCCTCCTCCTGATCAAAGCTCTCTCTGCTAAAAATCGCCATTAAAGCTCGAATTGCAAATTCTCGAAGATACCCAGAAAGAAAGATTGAAGCTTTGGTGGAAGGAAGCTCTCAAGGATTGAAAACGATTGCTGTGCCGATCTTCTGAGTTTCTATTCACTGTACGTTTGTCAAGAAATTTTTCCTTTTTTAGCTGCATTTGTTCCTGAACTGCACCTTGATTTTTTTCTGTTAAGATGAAAAAACTTGAAGGGGACGTTGAAATCCGTGTGAAATTTGTGGGTTTTGGGTTTTGTGGGGATGGTGGTGTGTTTTGGTTTGTTGAGCCGCAGATCTAGCCTTGTTTCTGCTTTCGGTTTCATCACTGTTTGGATTTTTGGGTTTGTTTGGTTGCTGGGAAACTGGTTTGGGGGAAGACAAAATGGAAATGCTTGGGAAGTTTGTTTCTTTGGGAAACAATTCTCAAGCATTTGCCTTTATCCAACACAACAAAGGGGTGGTTTTTTTTTTATTTTTTTTATGGGGGTGTGGATATGGTGCCAGAAGATTGAATGCTTGGTTTACATTAATCTGACACTATGTTGTAAGCCAAGAGATATGTGAGGTTTATGGGGTTTTCTGTGAGTCAATCCTGTTCAATTTTATGATAGTTTTGTGAGAAGTGGTTTCTAAGTGCATGTTGAGCTTGATGAAACTTGGTTTTACCTGTTTAGGGGCATGTAAGTGTGCATCTTCGTGTTTTCGAAGTTTATAGTGTGTGGTTCTACCCGTATTCTATTATGATTTTCTCTGATTGTTGTAGCTGGAGGGTTTCCCCACAATTTGAGGGTGTAGTGAGATGTATACCCTCAAACAAGGCTGATCAGCTAAGTGTTATATCAAAATGAGGTCGGTTTAATCCCTCATTTCATACCTGTGTCTGCTATAGAGCCGGGTTGGTAGAATATCCCGAAAGCGTTGTTGTTTAATTTTGTGTTGTGCTTGATGGAGGGTTCGGGATCGGTTCAGTTTCCTTGTCAGTAGGCATTTTTTCCTTCACTGTTCTACAGCAATTTAGATTCCTCTATGTCCTTCATTAAGCTGAGGAATTCTTGCAGCTAATCAATTTGGTTGGATGTCAACTCAAACATAACTGTCTGTGTTAGGTAGAATGGTGAGTGTGAACTTGGTTGAGAGATGTGCGGGTATAACAGTTTCCGGTGACAAAAGCGGGTAGCATTCTTGATCCGGTGCAGATTTTTGGATCACTCGGATTTATTAAGTGAAACTTTTTTTCCATGTTTCCTTTAATCTGCAGCCATATATGTTATGTGAACCTATATGAATGGATTGAAACTCCCAGGTGCTATGACCATTGTATCTAATTGGTTTCATTTGTCTCTCACAACGTGGTGGTGCACTGCTATATTATTTTAACTTTTTCCTCTCTCGCAAGCATTTGTCTTGTCTTCCATTTGTTAATTTTCAGTCTGATTGTTTTGCAAGGTCATCAGATGAGGGACCTTCAAAATACTCATGGTACTGAACTGGTTTCATTTATCTTATCTTTTGCAGTACTGGTGAAAAAAAAAAAACAAACAAAAATTAAAAGAACCGAAAAAATGGCCTTGCAGCAATACTTTGCACACGAATGCAGATCCGTATCGGGGGCAGCAACAGATTCAGAAAGTTCCAAAGGTGGCTATGACTGCAACATCTGCTTAGAATTTGCGCACGAGCCAGTGGTCACCTTCTGCGGCCATCTGTTTTGCTGGCCTTGCATCTACAAATGGCTTCACGTTCAGAGTGCCTCCCTTGCCTCCGATGAGTGCCCTCAGTGTCCTGTTTGCAAGGCTGATATATCGCACACCACCGTGGTCCCACTTTACGGCCGGGGCCAAACAACTTCTGAACCTGAGCTTGAAGGAAAGATGACACTCTACAGGGGAATGGTAATACCGCCCAGACCATCAGCATGTGATGTGCAAGCTCTCATATCTAGCAGCTCTCAGACCGTCCAGCAACTTCCATATCGTAACCCTTATCAGAACCAACAATATAACCCTCAATCATACGGCAGTTTTGGGGAACATCCTTCCTCGCCACTCCTTGACCTCGGAGGCACTGCAATGGCGGGTATCCACCATCCGGCGGCTGGTGTATTTGGAGAAATGGTTTATGCAAGGGTGTTCGGAAACTCAGAGAGCTTATATGCGTACCCGAATTCGTATCACCGAACGGGAAGTAGTAGTCCAAGGCTCAGGAGGCAGGAGATGCAGGCAGACAAGTCACTAAACAGAATATCTATTTTCCTCTTCTGTTGCTTACTTTTGTGCCTTCTTGTCTTCTGAAGTTCAGAGATTAGGTCATTCTCCTTCTCTGCCATTTTGTTACTGTATAATTAACGCTTGTGAACTTAGATAGATGAAATTAGATGTGAAATATAAGAGGTATTAATGATGCTAGAAATTTCTAACGGCTGGATGTGCGTTGAAATTTTTTAGAAAGTTCCATGATCAAATCATATTATGTTGTATGGATTTTAGTTTAAACCAAAGTATAAGTTATTATAGATGATCATAACAGATATAGAGCTCGTTTGGAAATGTTTTTAAAATGATTGAAAACGTTTTAGGTGAAAATATTTTTAAAACTAATATTTAGTAAAAATTCAAGTGGCCACTTAAGCTCATCATAATTTCCCAAATTGTTAGCATAACAAACAAAACTTAGGCCACTGGGCTCCAAGGGGGAGCCCGATTTGGCAGGAATCCACGGCACAGACCAGAGCTATATAACGCAAAGTTGACGTCAATCATAATTTAAATTATTATTAATAATTTTATACAAAAACCTTAAAAAACATTAAAAAAAATTTCCTATAAATACCTAACCATGCTTAAAATCATATTCGAAAATAAAAATAAAAATATTTTTCATTATTTTATTAAAAAATAATGATAATATTTTAGTCCCAATAACTCGGGCTATCCACTTTATAAATGAAAATGCACTTAGGCTATTCACTTGAGGCTATTGAGCTGCCTATGACCCAAGGAGGCTTTTAGGGATGGAAGTGCTGTAATAAGTGCTTTTGGGAAGGAGGGCGTCCATCCTGTATGGCCGACAATTATTTCACGGCGGGTCTGTTTTAAGCCAACTTGGTCACACAAATCTGAGCTTTTACCATAAGTGCTTTTACCAGTCCAAACAGCCAGTCAAGCTCTATTTATTGCGTTTGCTGAAGTGCTGATACATTTGAATGAACATAACAGTATACATTTGAAGCCAGTCAAGCGTAATCCATACACTCTTTTTTCATTTTTCACACATTATTTGTTAATTTATATCATTTGATTTTCTTCAATTCATTCGATCCGATGGCCGAAAATTAAAAAAATGTGTGAAAAGTAAAAAATAGTGTGTGGATAGCACACCCTAAATCAATGATTTCAACAATAAGAAGATAGAGGGAACAAGAAACGAAACATTGCTTAACTCATTATCGAGAAATCGCAGTTTGACACATATAGACAAATATCTCGGTAAAATTACAAAATGAAAAATTTACTTGTCTATACTATTATTAAGAGAACCCTCCTTATCAAAATTTCCCACTTTTTTTCCTCTTTTGCCCTCACTTTTGATTCAAACTATTGACAAAAGGGAGGGCAAAATAGTAATTTTGTACCTTTTGACAAAATGACAATCATATCCTTATTTTTCCTATTTTACCCTCACTTTTGATATACAATATTTACATAAGGAGGACAAAACAGTAATTATGTAATATCAAGATAAAATATGTACTTATTAAGAGAAATTGTCACACCATCATTTTTTCATACTCTTTTTAAAATTTTTATATAATATTAAGATAAAATATGCACTTATTAAGATAAATTGTCTCACCATCATTTTTTCATATTCTTTTTAAAATTTTAAAAACTAATCACATTCCTTAATAAAAAAATAAAAAATGAAATGAAATTGTCATCGACTAGTGTTAAATTACGATAAGAAGAAATACTTTTTTCTCGTACTATGTCCACTTACCTGTCCTATTTTTCTGCCAATCTACGTATGTTTCACCCCAGAAGTTATCGTCCCACCAACCTCAATTCACCAAAGTCCTGTCAAATGGTTCACCTATACCCATCCAATTTCCCATTGAAATGCACAAGTGACAACATTGGTTTGATTATTTTCAATCATGAAACATCATCTTCAACGTTAATTGTCATTACCAATCTCTAATCAAAAGCTGTTGCCAAACCAATAAACTTCTTGCATCACTAACCACAATGTCCAAATCAAATTGATTCTTATTTTGGTACAACAAAATAGTTGTTCTACCTTTAAGATCAAGATGTCGGGAACACGGTTTGATGCACCAATTGTACTATTATACTTGGTATACCGAATCGTGTTCTCGACACACTAATTTATATATAACACGTGACGAGAAAGATCGTAACAAAAAATATATAATTGATTATATGTCAGATCTCTATTAACTTTAGATCCAAGAATCTTATATAATCCTCAACCGAAAGGGTTTGTAACTTTGTAATAATGAAATTAGATTGTGGTGGACACAAAGATCTGTGGGTGAATGTGCATCCCAAAATGTGTTAGTGTGGTGATAATGTTGGTATGGAGGTCTCGGTCACCATTTGGCCACCCAACCCAACTGTCGTGGGCAGATTTTTCAGTGTGACCATCACACGAGATGGTACACCACATATCGTTATACAAATTGTGAGATATGTGTGTTAAAAAGTTAATAACTTAAAAAATAAAATTTCCCACCATTTGCATAAAAACACGTGATATACCATCCGTATTCCAATCACAACTAAAAATTTCTCGCCAATGTGGGGCAGTAATGCATCCATTAGGTTTGTCGATTTGAATTGCTTGCTAACTGCCATCTGTTTTAGGTCCACTTAGTTTTGTCGTTTTTACATTACATTTGCGTCCAATATTTGAAAATAATAGAGGTGGCAGCCTGTCGTGTTTTAATGTGTTTCAATAACGTTATTTTATGTCCTGTGAGATCATGCTCAACTTAAATTCCTATTACCAATACATGCGATTTAGGACCGCTTATTTGTGTTGTTTAACATTCGGCTGCATCAAATACTAGTCCTGGCAACTTGTCATGTTTCAACTTGTTCGTATTGTATCATTTTTATTTGGTGTGAGATTATGCCCAAAATGTACCAATCTAAACTAATACGTAAATCTTGCATGTCGGGTCATATATCACCCATTTACAGAACGTTTTTTTTAGACAAAAATTCACAACTACGAGGAGGAGGAGCTTCAAGCCCAAGACGCATGGATAGAAACCCATCACCCTATCTATTAGAATATTGGACCACATACTCATCTGTTAATCGGAAATGCGTTTAGCCACAATATATCTATTAGTCGCAATATCAAGATATGCGTTTAGGTCCATTTATTCGGGTCAATAGCATTTGATTGCATCAAATAGTAAATTTGTGAAGTGTCCTTATGTCGTATGAGATTATGCTAAACTCATTCACAAATTTTTCGTATCATGTCTAATTCTATCCATTTACTTATACTATTCAGCTATAATAAATTTAGAATAGTGCTATTCGCACACTGTCTTTTTTACAGTGAATTGCTTCTATGGATATCAAATTTCAAAGTGGGCCGCCTATAATTATGCCAGGGGTATGAAATTCTTCAAATCATATTCAAACTAGGCCACTAAACCACATTGAGATTATGGCTTTTACCGCTTTTCACACCTTTTTTTATTTTTTTTAATTTTTTTACACATGTTTGTTAATTCTTTTTCCACTGATTTTCTTCAATTCAACGGTTGGAAATTAAAATGGGTTGTGAGAGGTAAATATAGATGTGTGGATAATATCATCCTTTTTTATTTTTTGTCAATGAGATTTATAGACTTAAATCTGAATTTTCTTCCCATTTCATTGAATGATTAAATAAATTGTTGTTACTTAACCGTAGTTTATATCGAGAAAGATGTTTTAATTATACTTGCCTATAAGGTATTAATCATTTGTACGGCCAAGCGATCATCAAAATTCAAAATTTCCCACCACTTGTATAAAAACACGTGATGTACCATCCGTGTTCCCGTCACAATTAAAAATTTCTCACCAACGTGGGGCAGTGATGCATCCATTAGGTTTGTCAATTTGAATTGCTTGCTAACTGCCATCTGTTTTAGGTCCACTTAGTTTTGTCGTTTTTACATTCCATATGCGTCCAATATTTGAAAATAATAGAGGTGGCAGCCTGTCGTGTTTTAATGTGTTTCAATAGCGTTATTTTATGTCCTGTGAGATAATGCTCAACTTAAATTCATATTACCAATACATGCGATTTCGGACCACTTATTTGTGTTGTTTAACATTCGACTGCATCAAATACTAGTCCTGGTAACTTGTCATGTTTCAACTTGTTCGTATTGTATCATTTTTATTTGGTGTGAGATTATGCCCAAAATGTACCAATCTAAACTAATTCGTAAATCTTGCATGTCGGGCCATATATCACCCATTTACAGGACATTTTTTTAGACAAAAATTTACTACTACTAGGAGGAGGAGCTTCAAACCCAAGACGCATGGATAGAAACCCATCACCCTCTCTATTAGGATATTGGACCACATGCTCATATGTTTATCAGAAATGTGTTTAGCCACAATATATCTATTAGTCACAATATCAAGATATGCGTTTAGGTCCACTTATTTGGGTCGATAGCATTTGCTTGCATCAAATAGTAAATTTGCGAAGTGTCCTTATGTCTTATGAGATTATGCTAAACTCATTCACAAATTTATCATATCATGTCTAATTCTATTCATTTACTAATACTATTCAACCAAAATAAATTTAGAATAATGCTATTCGCACACTGTCTTTTTTACTGTGGACTACTTCTATGGATATCAAATTTCAAAGTGGGCCGCCTATAATTATGCCAGGGGTATGAAATTCTTTAAATCATATTCAAACTAGGCCACTAAACCACATTGAGATTATGGTTTTTACCGCTTTTGCACACTTTTTTTTTTTTTTTTTTTGGTTTTACACATGTTTGTTAATTTTTTTTTTCACTGATTTTTTTCAATTCATTCTATTCAACGGTCTGAAATTAAAATGGTTTGTGAGAGGTAAATATAGATGTGTGGATAACATCATCTTTTTTTTTTATTTTTTTATTTTTTATTTTTTATCAATGAGATTTATAGACTTAAATCTGAATTTTCTTCCCATTTCATTGAATGATTAAATAAATTGCTGTTACTTAAACGTAGTTTATATCGAGAAAGATGTTTTAATTATACTTGCCTATAAGGTATTAATCATTTGTACGGCCAAGCGATCATCAAAATTCAAAATTTCTATTAGAATAATTTCGCGAAAGGATTGATATTGACACTCCACAGTGGTTATTTTGGA